TTAATAGCCATTAATTGTCGCTAATTAAGGTTTAATAGCCATTAATAGTCATTTAATAGTGATTAATAGAGGATTAATAGCCATTAATTGTCGCTAATTAAGATTTAATAGCCATTAATAGTCATTTAATAGTGATTAATAGAGGATTAATAGCCATTAATTGTCGCTAATTAAGATTTAATAGCCATTAATAGTCATTTAATAGTGATTAATAGAGGTTTAATAGCCATTAATAGTCGCTAATTAAGTTTTAATAGCCAATAATAGTCACTTAATAGCGATTAATAGAGGTTGAATAGCCATGAATAGCAATTAATAGATGTTTATTAGCCATTAATAGCTGCTAATTAAGGTTTAATAACCATTTATAGTCATTTAATAGTGATTAATAGAGGTTTAATAGCCATTAAGAGTCATTTAATAGCGATTAATAGAGGTTGAATAGCCATGAATAGCAATTAATAGATGTTTATTAGCCATTAATAGCTGCTATTTAAGGTTTAATAGCCATTAATAGTCATTTAATAGTGATTAATAGAGGTTGAATAGCCATTAATAGTCGCTAATTAAGGTTTAATAGCCCTTAATAGTCACTTGATAGCGATTAATAGAGGTTGAATAGCTATTAATAGTCGCTAATTAAGTTTTAGTAGCCAATAATAGTCATTTAATAGCGATTAATAGAGGTTTAATAGCCCTTAATAGTCGCTAATTAAGGTTTAATAGCCGTTAATAGTCATTTGATAGCGATTAATAGAGGTTTAATAGCCATTAATAGTCATTTAAGAGTGATTAATAGAGGTTGAATAGCCATTAATAGCAATTAATAGAATACTGGCTAATGAAGCCTTAATGAGGCTAATTAAGGCTAATTACCAGGGGGAGGCGCAGCTGCAGGTGGTGCAGAAGCTGGAGGAGAAGGAGCAGGGGCTCCCAAAGCCCTTATTAGCCCTAATAATTCCCTAATAATTCCCTAATAACTCCCTAATTTCTGCAAACAATGGTCTAATGATGGTTAATAAAGTCCTAATTAGGCTAATTAAGGCTAATTACCAGGTGGAGGCGCAGCTGCAGGTGGTGCAGAAGCTGGAGGAGAAGGAGCAGGGGCTCCCAAATCCCTTATTAACCCTAATAATTCCCTAATAATTCCCTAATAGCTTCCTAATAATTCTTTAATTTCTCCAAATAACAGCCAAATACTGGCTAATAAAGCCCTAATTAGCCTAATTAACGCTACTTAACACCTTTTCGAGGGACAGGCACAGCTGCAGGTGGTGGAGGAGAAGGAGTTGAGACCCTTAAATCCCTTATTAGCCCTAATAATTCCCTAATAATTCCCTAATAACTCCCTAATTTCTCCAAATAATGACTGAATAATGACTAATGAGGCCCTAATTAGTCTAATTAAGGCTAATTACCAGGTGGAGGCGCAGCTGCAGGTGGTGCAGAAGCTGGAGGAGAAGGAGCTGGGCCTCCCAAATCCCTAATTAGCCCTAATAATTCCCTAATAACTCCCTAATAACTCCCTAATTTCTGCAAACAATGGTCGAATAATGATTAATAAAGTCCTAATTAGGCTAATTAAGGCTAATTACCAGGTGGAGGCGCAGCTGCAGGTGGTGCAGAAGCTGGAGGAGAAGGAGCAGGGGCTCCCAAACGCCCTGGGGGCCGTGGAGAAGGAGCTGGCCCTGCGCTCGCAGGCCCTCGAGCTGCACAAGAGGAAGGTGAGCGGGCACGGGGGGGGCACAGGTGTGCCCAGGTAACCCCAGGTGTGTCCCAGGTGTGTCCAGGTGTGCCCTAAGTGACCCCAGGTATGTCCCAGGTGATCCCAGGTGTGCCCCAGGTGACCCAGGTGTGTCCAGGTAACCCCAGGTGATCCCAGGTGTGTCCCAGGTGTGCCCTAAGTGACCCCAGGTGTGCCCAGGGGTGTCCCAGGTGACCCCAGGTGTGCCCAGGTGTGTCTTAGGTGCCCCCAGGTGACCCCAGGTGTGTCCCAGGTGACTCCAGGTGTGCCCCAGGTGTGTCCCAGGTGTGTCCCAGGTGCCCCCAGGTGTGTCCCAGGTGTCCCCAGGTGACCCCAGGTGTGTCCCAGGTGTGCCCTAAGTGACCCCAGGTGTGCCCCAGGTGTGTCCCAAGTGACTCCAGGTGTGCCCAGGTGTGTCTCAGGTGACCCCAGGTGATCCCAGGTGTGTCCCAGGTGTGCCCAGGTGTGTCTGTAGGGACACCCTGGTGTCTCCCAGATGCCCTCAGGTGCCCCCAGGTGTGCCCAGGTGTGCCCAAATGCCCCCAGGTGTCCCCAGATGTCTGTAGGGATACCCAGGTGCCCCCAGGTGCCCCCAGGTACCCCCAGGTGCTCCCAGGTGTCTGTAGGGATACCCAGATGCCCCCAGGTGCCCCCAGGTGTCCCCAGGTGTGCCCAGGTGTGTCCCAGGTGCCCCCAGGTGTGCCCGGGTGTGCCCAGGTGTCTGTAGGGATGCCCAGGTGCCCCCAGGTGCACCCAGGTGTGTCTCAGGTGCCTCCAGGTGTGCCCAGGTGCTTCCAGGTGCCCCCAGGTGTGCCCAGGTGTCTGTAGGGATACCCAGATGCCCCCAGGTGCTCCCAGGCGTCCCCAGGTGTACCCAGGTGCCCCCAGATGCCCCCTGGTGCTCCCAGGTACCCCCAGGTGTGCCCAGGTGTCTGTAGGGATACCCAGATGCCCCCAGGTGCCCCCAGGTGCTCCCAGGTGTGTCTTAGGTGTCCCCAGGTGCTCCCAGGTGTGCCCAGGTGTCTGTAGGGATGCCCAGGTGCCCCCAGGTGTGCCCAGGTGTGTCCTGGGTGCCCCCAGGTGCCCCCAGGTGTGCCCAGGTGCCCCCAGGTGTGCCCAGGTGTCTGTAGGGATACCCAGCTGCCCCCAGGTGCCCCCAGGTGCCCCCAGATGCCCCCAGCTGCCCCCAGGTGCCCCCAGATGCCCCCAGGTGCCCCCAGGTGCCCCCAGATGCCCCCAGGTGCCCCCAGGTGCCCCCAGATGCCCCCAGG